AAAAATTTTTTTATTAAAAATCACAAGCATTTTACAACAATCAATTGATTAATTAATTTCTTAAATCAACAAATAAATCATCATCAGTTTTTTAAAGTTTACTTAATTACTACTTTTGATTGGTGGCTTCTTTCTTAAAAAGATATGATGGATAATTTAGGGTTTACCTGAGATTTTTATAGACCCCACCCCCACAAGAACTTCTGATGTAATTTCATCACGAGATCGACCGTATACAATGTACTCGCTCATTCAAATGTATTAATATTTATTATACAACATTTTATAGTTAATATCCTTCTGAGTGCAACTATACGAATCGTGTTATTATTATGCAAATGACAACCTTTACGGAAAAATTTTATATAATATACAGCAGACACATGTGAATGAATCAGGAGAATATAAAAATGCAAAAAAATAATCACAAAAATCAGTATGGTACCGATCATCCAAAGTCATCAAAAAAATAAACCGATAAATTGAGAAATACTCTTTCAATTTATCGGTTTTACCTTTTGTGTTGACAAGTTTAAAAATGGGCATTTTGCAAAATTTTACAGTAAACAAACTTGTTATTTGTCCAATAGGAATACTCGGTTTTTTGTGACACATAATATTTAACACGGCGCGTCTTGTAAAAAAAATCAAAAATAGAAGCAAGTAATTCTTAAACACTTATGGGTAATGATATAAAAGAAGTTAAGCTAAAAGAAGATGAATGGGACAATGATGAATATAATGGATATAATGGATGGGAAAGTAATTTAGATTTAGAACGAGGGAAAGAATGTAAGGATAGGCAATTAGTTTAAAACTTGGATTTATTTGCGCTGAAAATAATGAATTGGAAAAAAAGAAAAGTGGCTTGCTTATATATGAAAAGTAAAATTTCAAATATGGGGCATACTGCAATAAAACCAGACAAAGTGAATATTGGTATTACCAAGGATTTCAGGGATCAATAATGTTTGTCTAACATCACAACTGTATTCTTATTTGATTAGACATTTTGTTCCTTGTAGGAAGACCATTAACAAAGTATTAATGATAATTAATTAAATGAATAATAATATAATAAATTGTCAAGAAAACAAGAATACTGTTGAAATCATGTGACCACGTGACTTAAAAGCAATGGTAAAAGCATTTCATATTAAAATTAATTTTTATTATCACAGAAGGAATTTACATAATAATAATTTTTAATACAGCAATAAAATGAAAAGACATTACAATAAGGAAATATATTAATCAATTTTAATAAATTTTTATTTGCCAAATCCATAACAAAGTTTTCCTTGTCTCTTCAATGCGTAAACTGTTAAAGAAATATATGCAAAAATATAAGCAAAGAGTATACAACGTATATTATACATTATAATAATACATTGTGAACCAACTCACCTACATCCATATATGTGACTGTTCTGCGTTTACCATTCTCCATATAAATGATTGTATCCTAAAAAAAAAAAAATGTAAAATTGTTATCAATGCCTATAAATTATAATGTAATAAATTATTACATACTCTGAGTACATCTTCAAGAAATTTTTTTAACAATCCACGAGTATCTTCATATAACAGACCAGAAATGCGTTTCACCCCACCCCTATGAGCAAGCCTTTTAATTGATGGTTTACACAGTGAGTCTCGGTATAGCGGATAATTTGGGCAATTAGAACAAAAATTTCAAAAATCCGTTATACCGAGATTAATTCAAGATTTAAGTAGTAAATCCGTTAAACCGAGAGAATTTACTTTTAGACGGTTCTGAGCTTTGATCCGTTAAACCGAGAGTTTTATTAGACATCCGCTATACCGAGACTTACTGTGTAGTTATCCCTTTGATAGTATCGCGATAATTGTTTCTAGTTCTTCTTCTTATGTTTTCTTTATTATGATCAAAGATTATATATTGTTTTATTATTGATAATAGAGGAAAAAAACAATAATATTTTTAAAGAATAAAAGATTAATTGATAATAGGTTACATACCTTGTGATGAATTTGGTGGGCCATTACTATTATTAGTATTGACATCACTATTATCGTTATTGTCGTTGTTACTATGATTATTGGTGTCTAGATCTTTAAATCATACGCCAAGATGAGTAATTGGACCTTTTTGCCAAAAAAAATTTTTTTTTTAATAAAAATTAATTTAAAGATAAATAATTATACCATCAATGATTATTTGGCTATCGTCGTTATCAAAATCAATATTATCTTCCAGCTTTTAAAAAAATACATATAAACATGTTAAATTGAAAAAATGTAAAACGATAAACAGAAAAATTGTTTAAAAACTAATGGTCTATAACCTCTATATAGTTGTCATCATCGTATAAAATTTTTAAATGATCAAATATTTCTTTTGTGTTTAGTGGGACTGATGGTGGCTGTGGGTAAAACTTCTTAAGATTATCAACTAATTCTTCTGCATTGAACCATTCGGAAAACTGCTGTCTAAAATATAAAGTATCAAATAAAAATAAATAACACTTACTCTTTAATTTCAACTAGTGGTGGCGATAACCACCACCATTTAATGATAAATGGCACTTGTAATATTCCTCTCGATTGCTGTCTTTTTTCCTAATATTTGGACGATATGACATTTTTTAAAAAAGAAGAGAATTTATACAAAACGCGTTGGGGTATTCGATATTGGTTGATTGACAAATCTAATTAATGTCAATAAGATAAATCTATGTGCGGATTTTTTTTATGGTAAACCCCTTTTTTTTCTGTGTGACAAAAGTTTTTTATTTATGAATTTTGATATATACTATATAAAAATTACACATTTTATTATGTTTCTTGCAAATTTCGGAAACAAAAAGCTCTTGATGATAATACTTTGCCACATTGCAATGATTGCGGTCGAGCTACGAGAAACAGGATAGATTGTTTTTGTGATTTAAGGAAAGGTGAGCCAGTTAAAACCCCAACCATAACAGAAATAATGGCACAGAGTTATGTTGGCAGATTGGAACAGCAGAATAAAGATTTAAAACAACAACTAGCCAGTGCTAAGGAGGAAATCAGTACTCATTTGGAAGTCTTAGAGGTTTCAAAGGATTGACATAATAAGCAAAGGCAAGAATTATTAGATAAAATTAAAAGACTTGAAAGTGAGGTTGAATGATTAATGAAACAACAAGTTGCTCAAATTGAAGTTAAAGAAACAAAGAGATGATCTTGATTGAAAATAAGTAAGTAGTTTAAAGAAATTCTGTATAAATTGAAATTCATTTCAACTATTAAAGAAAATGGTAGTTATTTTCCTTTTAAAGATTTTTGCTTTTTGTTAGGTAACAATGCATCATCATGCTGCTTTCTTTTTCTAACATTTATTATTTTTCTTTCTTCTTGATAAATTTCATAAGTAATCCTTTCTTTTCTTAGATAAGTTTCCAATGTCTGAGTATTATTTATTTTGAAAATGTAAGGAGCAATTTTTTCACCTTGTTCTTTCTTCAAAATACTTCTAATGGTGCTGGAATTTTTGGGTTCCATAGTAGATCTGATATAAATTAGTTTCATATTAACTATTTTTGTCTAGACAAATATCATGATCACATTACATTGGCAATACAATTGTGATGTTAAACAAACACAATTGATCCCTGAAATCTTTGGTAATACCAATGTTCACTTTGTCTGGTTTTGTTGCAGTATGCCCCATATAATAACTGGGCCTGAATGGCTTATCACAAAGGCAACAGCTGGTACAAATAAGGTTAAACCTATTTTAGTTCATAATAATTTATTGGAAATCTTGAGTTAATGGAAAGTTCAAAGTGGATCTGATGATAATATATGGCCTAATTGATGAAAAGTAAATGGATCTAAAAGTTGAATTGGACAAAGGTCATATTATTCTAAAGTGAATTGTTGTGCACAAAAAATTACTACAAAAAGTGCAATTCAGGAGTTGATTTGAAAAGGCTGGGTGCAGGTACATGAAGGATATTAGGGAGCTTGTTAAGTATTATTCTAGAGAAAATTGTGATTACAACTGTTCCTCAAAGTCTGGATTTTGTACTTTAATCAATTAGAAATTTGCAAAAGTTACGTAGAGGGTGGGAATTAATTAGCAGAGTATCAGACGGAATTTAGAGTTTATAATATAAAATGTTTTCACGTGACTTTGTCATGTGAAGATCTTCATTTATTATTCAGTAAATCAGACTAGCTCTAATATTGATAGGGCAGACAGGCTGGATACTGCAATAGTATCTCGGAGGATAGTTTGTATTTAGATTACATTACAATAGACTCCCATTGGCTCAATGATAATATAATATTCTAATAACTGACTGTGAACACAGTGAAGGATTATATTGTGGCGTTGAAAATAGATAATTGTTGGGGCGACTGCAAAGTGGACTTCACGCCACAAATTAAATTTGGCGGTACAAAACTATAAATATGCTAAACGCCATAACAACATAAGATAATTGAAGTCACTAAGCTTATACTTCTGTTTTATTTGGCTTAACTCTATGGCTTTTTCCTTTAAATGATATGTTTTCCCTTAACTTTATTCCGAAGTTCCTGAATAACAATCATTTCCTTTTTTCCTTATCCTCTCATTTAAATTCATTAATTGCTTTTCTTTGTATTATCTTTTTGACTACTAATGTTTTTTCTTTACTTGAAGGGCTTCGCGTCATTATTGTTTGTTTAAAGAGGCTATTTTTTTTTCCTAATCTTTCTTTATTTCAATCCCATCCTTTCAATGAGTTTGGACTTGTAATTTTTGAACCTTGTTTTTTATGGTTCTTGAAGCTTCTACAGTCTTTTTAATAACAAACCCCAGGCTAATTATAATTAAAGAATGTTCTATACTCTAATATTTTTTATTTTTTATTTTCTTCTTTCTAACTTTTCAATAGAAACTTTAAAAAAAATTTGCATTTAAAGGAATTGCTATATACTATTTTTAAAACTTCAAAGGGAAAAATCTCCAAATTTTGCTATGTAAAGTGGTTATGTTTCTAAGCCAAAAATGTTCTTCGTAAAAAGTTACACGCAAAAGTGGTATTAAAAATTTCATTTTCATTGAAAAACTCCTGTATGTTCGGTTTCTCTTTCTTAAGCATTTAGCATAATAATAATGTTATAATTTTACTTTTCAACATACCCGATCTTTTGTTCAAAACTTCTTTATGAATAGTATATAACAAAACCCAAGTAATTCTTCTACTGTCAATTAATCTCTTGATATGTTTGAATTTTTATTTTTTCTTCTCCAAAAAGATTGTTGTATCGACGAATACTATCATCATCATAACAAGCACCTTCTGAGCATAGCTTAGACATTATTCTTGATTAATTCTTGTCATATTTTTTCAATTTTAAATATAAGATTATTCCTATCATTATAAACTCGAACAATTATAATACCTTAAGAAGTTTATTAAAATAAGAACAGGCTAAACAAATGATATTGGAAGGATTGAGAGATATTTAAATAAAGAAAAAAATTACTTATAAAATCGATCAGGAAGAAAAAACTATTAAGAGCGTAGTTTTCACCAAAACTTATCAAGATCAAAGAAAAAAAAAAATCAAGTTGTTCCTAAAAAATAATTAATTTTGTGCTGATGACATCCTTAAATTCATTATCACTGACAAAACATTCGCTCGCATTTCTTTAATTAAAATCCATAGGCATGAGATTTTAATATCTGTTGTGGAAATCCTAGCTTTCTAAATCCTCGTCCGATTCTTCTAGCATCTTCAGACCAACAATAATCCAAAGTACAGATGAGGATGCCTCCTATCAGCTTATTTTGGCAAGTAGAAGATGTCAATATTAACTTTTTTGGAATGCCTTCCATTGATTTTCATTTCAATATTCTAAAGCTATTTGTAGATTGGTTAGCTTGATACTTTATATCGTGAAGATTTGATTTTCGTTGAATTGATGCAAGCAAACTTCATCGGAAAAATAAGAAATTCATTCATATAAAAAATAAATTCGGTTCGTTGTAATTGATTCATGCTATGATCCTCCAAAGTTTATGACAATATATTAATCATAGAAAGATGCCAATATAAATTTAAAATTATCAATTCGTCGGAATTCTCTTTACACCATCAATGTCAAGTGGTAAAAATTCACCCAATCTCATAGACGTAATGGATGACATTTTTTATTATTATTTTGAAAAAAGAGGTCTTATCAACCATTTATTCTGTAAAATAACGTTTCATATGTATCGTTATGTTTTTACAATATCTAAATAGTCATAATAATAAGATGTTCATTTTTCTATATATATAAATCAATAAATAGGCTTTTATTTGGTTGTAATTTCCCACATAAAAAAAACTTCTTAAAAAGTAATAACCACAAAAAATATATATAAGATTTTGGAACCCCAAATGGTTTTTAATTAACATATGAAGTTTGTTTCAGAGCCTTGCGTGCAAAGCGTGTTACCTTGATGAAAAAAGACATTAAACTTGCGAACCGTCTTCGTGGTAGTCGCGAGTTATTAACAGATTTGAATTATTATTTATGTATTAATATTTCATCATTTTAATTGAAAATTTTTTCGTCGTCGTAATCAATAATTCATCAAATATATAATAAAAATGAATATTTGATTATAATTTGTTCAAATTTTTGGCTCTCTACACAAGTATAGTAATAATTATTTTTTATGCGTTATATTATAAATAATAAATTATGGGTGTACAAAAAATAATTCCGATAAAAAAAAATGGAATCCTTCTAAATACAGTCGGCGCTCAATATACTATATAAATTCAGTTCGACATAACGATTTTTTAATATAAACTATATAATAATAATGGAGTTTTTTGCCAAAAGGCCAACTCTTCTTTATATCGAGCGGCAACTTGTAAACTTCATTAAACCATTCGTATATAGTAACACATACACAAAATATTCACTGCGGATGATGTCACGTAATAGTTTATGGTGTTACCATTAATAAGGTAAGTATTCCATTGTGTGTATGTGTGTATGTATATATATTCATTCTTTCAATTGTACATACATACTAATACATATGATTTTTACGTTATAATACCGCCAACTCTCTTTCGAAAAATTTATTTGGATAAAAGATGTGACGAATTGGTGAGTTGATAATCTTTAACTTAAATTGGAAAATCTAATTATTTAATATAAAAAAAAAATGGGTTTAATTTATTTTCTCAGCACTTTATCACGCCAAATGATGATAATACAATTTTAAACCGTTTAAATTAAACCAGATTCGGAACCAATTGTTTGATAAAGCGTCTTATTGAAAAAGAACAACATAGAGTTATGTCTTATTAACAACAGAGCCTAGGAATAAAACAAATTTGATGTTCTTAATAATGGTGGTGTTTCTTCGTCTCCCGCCGATCTGATGATAATAATGTTTTCTCGTTATTAGATCAAGATAAAAAACTCGCTCAAACTGGTATAGCAAGAATTATCTCGGATATTTTTTCTATTGATGGTCAAACTACTTGAAATTATCACATGGGCCATGCTGGAACAAAACCAGACAAAGTGAACATTAGTATTACCAAGAATTTCAGGATCAAAATTTAGTAATGTGATTATTAAAATCTCATCATTTGTTATCTTTGTTTTTTTCTTTGATATTAAGTGATTATATAGAATTACCTTCATGTAAAAATAGTTGAAATTAATTATTCAAAAGTATTTTGAAGAAAGAACAAGGTGAAAAATTGCTCCTTATATTTTCAAAATAAATGATATTCAGACATTGGAAACTTATCTAATAAAAGAAAAATAATAAATGGGACATGCTGCAACAAAACCAGACAAAGTGAACATTGGTATTACCAATATTTCAGGGTTCAAAGTTTAGTCATCACAATTACAATTTATTTTTTCTATAGTATATAGTGTTCATAAGTTAGGATTATCAAAGAGAATAAGTTTATTTAAAAATATGCAAAGATAAGTTGTTTAATAATACTGTAGCAAGAAAATAAAAAGATTAAAGGAAAAGTATATCAGATAATTTTTTGATAATTTTTTAAAAAGGAATAAAAAATAAGGATGTAAATTATGATATAAAGATTTTAAGTTAATATTTACAGTATAATAAAAATTTGAATTATTATTCATCTGAATTATTTGTAGTCTCTTAGTTTTAAATAAAATCCTCTTAATTACACTCAGTAGGCTTGGCATTAGAAACTCTTTGCTTCTTTTTCAATGTTTTTATGGAAGTAGGTAGCTTTGGTGTTGTTATAGAAGTAGGTAACCAGTCCTGTTGATATTGATCATAATCATTTCTCCTGAATCCAGCATTTTTAAATAATTGTGAAGATAGTGGTTTTGAATTTACAGTATTCAAGGTTCGTCTTACTACATTCTAATATTTGTAAACCTATATCAATTATAAACATATAAAATAAGTAATAAGCTTGACAAAAAATAATAGTCTAACCTCTATATTTAAAGCTGATGACAATATTGGTAAAATATTTGGAAATTTTTCTGGTGCATCTGGCACCTCCATTAACTCTCCACGTTGAAACCTACAGATATACCCTTTGGGTTATCTACATGCACAACCATCATCATCAAACCTATATTTAAGAATTATTAATTGTCAATAACAACTGATGAATCCTTGTTTACATGCAAATATAACATACCACTATGTACTACTCCCACTGCTTTTATTTCAGGGCACTTAACATTACCAACTTTTTTGATTAATTTTAACAACATGTCTTTTAGCATTTTGGGCAACTTAAGCCCTGCTTCTTGCATAAACTTAGCACCAAATTCATCTGTCCAATCCTTTCCAACCTCACCTGCTCCAAATTCATCTTTATTTCCATTGTTAATCGATCTGATTATAAAATCATTTCTACAACCAAGCTTCCTTCTCTCACCAAGTTTTCTTTTCTTGTTCTTTCTGGAAGCAGAAGCAATACTTGTACTCTCTCCCCTTGATTGTTAAAGGAAATTAAATTCCATTTTTTAAATAATAATGATAATGATAAATAATAATTACCTTACTACACACACTACATCTAAATCCCCAAATGCCTGATCAACTATAATATTCCTACATGAGAATTAAACCATGCCTCCAAATTTAAATTTTTGATATTACTATTTTCAATCTCTCTTACTCTGTAAAAATTTTTTTAGTTAGTTTTTTGTCAACAACACATGTACAATCAACAATGAAACACAATAAAAAGATTACTCAGAATCCATATAGTGCAAATAAAATATAATCCACATCATGATTCACATTAAGATCATAATTGCTTCCAAACTCAATTCTTTCAGAATCCCCCTAATTTCTTTTAGGTTTGTCTGCACAAAAGAAAAAGCTCAATAATTTCATTACCAATACACATACTTATATTAAGACCATTTTAAATGAAATATACTTTATTGATAAAACCACTCAAACATTAGTTACTTCTTCTGAAAGTTCGGATAATATTATAGGATTTTCACAAGACATCTCAAGGAGTTCTTCATTGGTAAAATGATTTTTTATTATTTTGTCATCAACACCTAATATGAATGAATGAATTGAATTAGAAACAAAATTGTGATTTAATAAATTTGTATTTCTAGCAATTGATTTTATAAGAATACTGACTGTTCAAATTCTAGATCTTGTCCTAATTTTAACAGTTCTTCTTCAATATATCGTCCAGAAGAAAGTCTCCACTAGGGTTTATATTCATGAATATCATAAGGGGGTCACACAGAGTCACACATTATTAAAATCAAGTATTTTTTGCTGTTTTAATAGTGTGTAACCCCCTTAATGATATTCATGATATTCATGAATAAAAACCCTAGTCTCCACATTCTTTCTTTTTTCATATTCTTAAATTTTTCTTCTATTTCTTGATGATTTGTTTGTTGTAGAGGAGGTGTCTATGTATATATAAATAAAACTTATGTTGATTTATCAAATATTAAAAACTGAAACCTACAAAAGAACTACCTTTATGCAGATTTCTTCACCATCATGATTTTCTTCATATTCATTGTCACTACTACACAAATGATTGTAATGTTAATATTAAACTAGAATGACACTGAGTGGTGTGATAACCACCATTCTTTTAATAAATGACACTTACCCATGAATAACATCTTCAATGTAATTTTGTTCTTGATTTCTTTTTCTTTTTGTTTTGGATTCAGTAGTCATTTTTTTTAAAAAACAAAAAATAAAATAATTGTTGATCAATTGACAAACATGTTAATTATTTATGTGATTGATTTTTTTTTTTTTTTGGAAAATAAATTATTTTCAAAGATGACAAAACACAGCTCTCCTAAAGAAGACATGTTAATAACTGACCAGAGGTACTCTTTTTTATTTGCATTGATGTATATATTTTTACTTTTATTTTATATAAATATTTTAATTGGAATCAAAAAACGGAGCAGATCTTGCTGGGTAATTATAAAGATTCTCATCAAGATGGTAAACAATTGGTATTTTGCTTTTTGTACTCATAATCAATAATAATATTATTATAATAATAAATACTTACAAGATGTCAAGGCAGCACATGACTTGAAAAAGAAACAATTTGAATACAGAACATTTTGATATGCAACATTTGATTATCAGAAGTTGGCAGGTGTTGAAGCACACATGCTGCCTTGAACACTTTACAGTCATTTTCTCATCTTCCTTGTGTACACAAGGCTAATCTGACTGAGTCACTCTCAATGATACAATGATGCAACAGAATTCCAGGGGAGGGGAGTTTGGCCCTGGAGTTTACTGAGACTGCATCAATCGTCAATGACATCCCACCTAATCTTCCTCACAGCACCCAGACCAGAAAAAGCTGAAAAGTTGCCTGCAATGATCCCACCTTTAGGATGGCTCTGTGACCAACATGTCACAACTCTGGAAGAATATTAAGAGAACCTGCAACTTGTTTCAAGTACAGGAGGTTGCAATTCAGAGCAGGGTTGGTAACCCTGAAATTGCATTTGGGCTCTGATGTCAAGAGGAAAGTTGTAAAATTGTAAACATTCAATGTTTAAAAGCGAAATAAGTAATTTAATTGTTGTAAAATTACAAAGTTATCTTTATTATCTTAAAAATGATGTCCTTTATATAATAAAATTACATAGATTGATATGATATAAATAAAATATAAATAATAATAAAAGATTGATAAAATATAAATAAAATAATCATAATAATTCTTATCAATCTATCCGGAAGATTTGTGGACATAGATAAATAGTAAATAATAAATAATAACTAAAGACACGAAATAATTGATGCTACAAATAATAATTAATTGTGTGTCACATTTCCAGATGTAAATATTATTGTACTACATAAGACATTGTATATGATTACGAAGTAAATTGTTACAGTCAATGTAAATGCTTCTTTGAAATATTAATACAAGAAGGGTATATTACATTGAAGAAAAAAGATTGTGAATTTCATGACTAGTGAGAACTATATAATAAAAAAGATTATAATTGTTCTAATCTATTTGATACAAACAGAGCAACTGGTAGATTTTGGATTTTGAAAAACTCTAAATCATTAATAATTTGATTATCAAAACTTTAAATGTAAAGAATTTTGATTGACCTTGAAGTATAGAAACCAATTGGCAAGTAGCTTTACTATCACCATTTAATTCTTTTTCTTTCTGGAAAATCTATTTATCCAAATTGTAGACTTAGACCAAGAATTCCATCTAGTTTTAATTAATTTCTTTTTTCAAACTGAAAATAAATGAATACATCTTCTTTTCTTGCTGCACTATATATTTGCTTTGATATTTCCTACTAACAGACTAAAGTTTTCATATTTAATTCATGTCTCTCATACTAAATTTAACATTATATGCAAGCATTATCTAAAATAAAAAATTATAGTATTTTCAAATGAATATCATCAATTGAAGTCACATAAAAAAGATCAACGATCGATTTTGTCACATGTGATAAAACGAATGTCCACTATGCTGTTCAAACCGTTTATTAGAGAAACCGACCCATCCCTAAATCGGAGTGATCAGTGGAGGAAAAATTGACACAAAAATGATCAATTGAGTACCTTTGCATGAAAAATTGTACTATACTTTTGTTCCACTACATAAATTTTTTTTTAGCATGCAGATAAAACATAACTCTGAAAACATATTAATATATTTTATTTTACCATTACTTAGGCAAAGAAAAAAGTTTACTCTTTAGCACTTGTGGATTGTTGGAAATTTTTATATAGAAAATTTTGTTTTTTATGTGTAATGTTCATTTTTAACAAGGGAAAATAGTAATAGTAATAGTTTTGTTATTATTGAATCTTAATTGCATTTACAATAACAAAAAATTCTTTTTTTTCTATATATAGTTCACTCTATAACAGACTATTTGACTCAGTATTAGTATTAGTATTAATATTATAACTAGGGAAAAATGTTTATCATAGATAATCCATTATCAACAATAATATATTAATATTGGACATATGGGTCAGGCTTAATATTAATATCAATATTGATATTAAATTCTCAGTATGTTACAGAGGATCCGTTATTATTAGAGAGTGTGAGTGGACTCTATAAATATTCTTAGAGGTAAAAGTTTAATGAACTTAAAAATCATGGATTTATCAATTAAATTTATTTTAAAAACATTATCCCTTAAACGGTTTTTTGGCTATTGATAGCTGAAATTTTTTTTCTGTTATAAAAAACTTTTTCTGAAGGTAATACTTTTCTAATACGAAAATGATCTTTGAGATTAAGCTGATTGATCTGTGAATAAAAATTTGGTTGTTGTCCTTGTGGTTTTTGTAAAATCTTCATTAAAAGTTGGTCGATTGACTATTTTTACTTTGCAGATTATTAAATTGGTCAATAAGAATGCAAGATTGTGATCAAAAAATTATTTTGTATTACTACTAAAGAATACTTTGACCGTTTAAGGGATAAATGTGAAATTAATATTAATATTATTTTTACATTAATTATTCATATTAGCATTCTTACTGCTTGTTTTTTATGATGTTGATTAATCTAAATATCCATTATTTGATTTGTTGGAGAAGGGATTTTTCAATTACGTTTAAATCAAACCTTTTACCACCACTTTTTTACCAAATGTTTGTTTACAAATCCTGGTATTAATTTTTCATACAATAAATTTTTTAAGTCATAATCATCTAATAGCAATGAAATATCTATTGATTCAAAATTAATAAAGGTGTTTGATAACAATTATAAAAGTTTTATTGTTATTGTAGATGGACATTTGTAGATGTTTATTTTTGAAAATTTTAGATGTATCGTCAATTAAACAAATAAAAAATTGTCTTCTACAAATCTGACCCTTTGGGTATTTTATTATTGACTTATTAAAAACACTTTATCCAATTAAATAATTATTCTTCACCAGAGAGAGATGGGACGCTCTGAAGGGAAATATAATATACTGGTTATATATATTATAATAGAATAAAGGAATTCTATTGCGGGTCCAAACGTAAGTTACCCTTTAATCTGAAAAGGAATGGGATTTAAGATAATTATCTTAAGAGGCGGGTAGACACCAGTAGATAAATTAGTTTTGGTTGCTAAGGCGATGGTTACTAGTAACATATTAATATTAGAATTAAAAAGGAACTGAATAATTTACATATTAAACACAGTACAACACAATCCAAAATCAATAATTCACAATATTAAAGAATTACATACTATTACATTTGTCATAATAACCAGATGATAATTAATTGGAAGAGATGTAAGTGGTCTTATATGATGGTTTATTTCATTAGAAACATGTTTCTATTTGTTAACTCTTGAAGTACTGCAAACTTGTTTTAAGAATTTTATTTATTTTGAAATAAAGTATGTAATACAAAGGACATCATTGATCAAAAGCAAACTTTTACTATATTGTTCTTTCTAGAATAATTCCATTAGCAATTTTTTTAAATTGTCATAGTCAGTATCTGTAGCTGATTTTAGTATATTTAACCATATTGATGATCGTGCATTATTCATCCAAAACTCCTTGATTTCCTTTGCTCTTTCCTTGATACCATTTTTATTTTCTCCAAAGGGAGGGCGCTTCATCAATGGTCGAAAAACCATTAAATAAAAAGAACGAACCACTGAGATTAACTCATTACTACAAGTATATGTAATATCCTCCTCATCAATAATATTTTGTAATGCATCATCTGACAGCGTCTCCAAAGATCCAGCAAAAGTAGTTGATTCATTAACATCCACCGCAAATCCCCAGTCTGCTATACAAACGTTACCATCTTGATCTCTTAGTAGATTCCATTTTCGAAAATCACGATGTATTATACCCATATCATGCACCTTTTTCAAGGTATCAATGATGGGAGGAATGTCTTCCTTTCTCCAGTTTTTGTATTGTCTGCACAGTGGAAACAAGACAACAAAGATTGGATCAGAATCATCAGAATTATAGTCATCAATATTTGTGAACAGACATTTGAGAAGGACACTTGAATTCAGCTCAGCTAATTTTTGCATCACATTAACTTCCAGTTTAAAGCAATAAAGAAATTGGGGGTCTTTTAATACCTTAACAGCCACCTCATTATCATTATAAATGCCTTCATATACCACAGATGTTCTTCCTACACCAATTGACCTTGATAATTTGATTTCTTCTCCTTTATGGTACACATATGATGTTATCCAACCAAGTGTCTCTGGCTTTTGCAACAGTAATGTAACTAATTGCTTCCATCCTTCAGCTGGTTTGCCATCATCAGATTCTAATTTTGCAAGTCGTGTATATTTGTACTGGAATTTATCATCACTAATTTTGCTAACATGAATTATCATGAGCATGTGACAATCTGTAAGAAGCACATATACATATGCTCGACGTGGTTGTAGTTGTAGTAATTTCTCTCCAAATGATGTTGCATGACCAACATCTGCATCTGAGAACCTCCCATGTTTTGCAGTAATTAATCTGATCTCACCAATCATTATAACATTAAGAGGATCAAGTGGGTGCTTTTCATCTAAAATGAGAAAATCTGGTTTTTGTGTATCTAAAAGAGCAAAATCATGTACATCATATAGAACATATTGTATTTCATCAAATGATCTTGTTATAACATTACATTCATTAATAAAGTGTTTTTGCACAATATTTTCTCCTTTCTGGGCTATTGGAATCGATTTTTTCTTGAACAAACCAGTCCTGTGCCTTTTACCCAAAGTTAAATCTGTAAGAGTAAATGGAAGAACAAATTCTTCACCAACCAGATGTATCATCTTTCCCTTCTCTGTTTCAGTATGGGTTGCTAAAATAAAAAGCAAAATATGAGACAGCCTAAAGTGGAGACATAGATTTGGCAATTTGCAAAATATCTAAACTTGACTTCATACCTGGGCATGAATACCATCCTGGAATAGATAATTCAACTGTTTTAATTTTCTTGAGGTTATCATCAATAAATTTTGTGATCTCATCTTTAATCTCAGAGTATGGACGTTTCATAGCACCAGAAGAGTCTTCTAATGAATAGATTAATATTAGTCATATGGAATATGAAAATAACAATTATGGGAGAAAAAAGTTGAAATTTAAAAGACATAAATTAGTTAAATTATATATCATTCGAATGGAATGAATGGAAAATAATTTTTTCTATATTTTTTTAATGCAATTTTTTCGTTACCTTTTTCCTGCAACTTGAGCACCTGCTTCCTCCAGTCATCCTCCTTCTTCACCAACCATTCTCTTTCTTCTTCAAGTAGCTTTACTTCAGCTTCCCACTTCTTTTTTTCTTTATAATCACCCCATTCTTCTCCTGCTAGCTTTACCTTTAACTCCCCCAATCTCTTCATCTTTCCTTCCACCTTGAACTCCTCCAACTTCCTTTTTGCTTCCTCGTACTCCTTCTCAGCATTCCCGAGAGTTGACATTTTGTAAAATTATAAAAAAAGATTTATAAAAAAATTATTAACAATTAATTCGTGATCCACCAGTTAAGGAAAGGATTTAATTAATGCCGATCCGGGCAAATTTTTTAAATTTCATAGTAATAATAATAGTAATCGATTTTTCGCCCCCATAGAAAGTCATGCATTTATTATTTTACATAAAAAAAATTTTATATCAACCTATGTAAATCAAAAGTAAAAAACTATGTTTACTTACAAATATATGGGCTA